CCTAAGTCTTAACATAGAACCATACATGCCATGAGCAACCAATGTTTGGTTTAAAGTCTGGTTTGGATCTGGATTTGGTTAGATCATAGATAAACAACCAATGCTTGGTTTAAGGTCTGGTTTTAGTTGGTGATTAATGATCTATTGGCTACTATTATAAAAAGAGGTTTATACCAGTTTATGGTAATAGGATTTAGAAAGTTTATTTCTACTTTGAGTTGCACCAGATCAAAGGGTTTTAAAGATGGTCAAATCTATTTCTATAATGGTATGATCAGTTTCTTGCTGCTATTCTGATTTCTTTTTTTGGGACTACCTTTCTTCTAATTTTCCCATCTTCTGATCTGTTGTTTCATGTGACTTGTGTCTGCCCATTTGTTGCATCTGCTGGCCTGCTGGTTTACGTAGTTAATGATTTTAGATCTGAAGTCATTGTGTTCCATTTGTTGTTTACTAAGTTGAATTTTGGTTAATTAMTTGCATTGTTGATAAGATAGTTTGTTTCAGTAAATTTGTTCCATTGGTCAAACCTATTGAGTAGATATGGAATTATATTCTTATGTTCAGATTTCAGACATTCGGAGAGGCATGTAATGGAGATTTTAATTCCTGATAACCACATCCGCTTGCTCTAATGCTTATTAAGTTGAAGGTGCGATGATATTAACTTACAAAGAATATGTACCATCTCAAATTACTCTCCCCTTGACAATGCAAAAGAAAAAAAGATTATAAGAGAAGAAATATGCAATGAGTACACAACTATCCCTTGATATATATAATTCAAGAATGACTTCTCTCCCGTTGCTAATTGGTTTTAAGATGGAATCCCCTGCATGAAATCCTGCTTTTATGATCCCACCATGGTTAATTAGAAAAACTAAATGGTCAATTGAAAAAACTAAGTTATTGAACTTGTTCKAATTATGATCAAGAAAGTGATTTGGTTTTAAAGTTTTCTAAAAATTAAGAGGTTGTTTACCAAAAGCTTACTTGGGTAAGCGATTACTAAGTCACATTACCTTACCGGATGAATATGGTAAGGACCAAAAATCTTATCCGGTAAGTGTGAAGACAAGGACCGGAGAGCCTTATCCGGTAAGCGAGAGCGATGACTCTTACCTGTTGTGTTCTTCTTGTTCTAAACATGTTTTTGAATTCGATATTCTGTTCCTACTGTTTRTATTCTCTACCCACAGCTGGCCATATGGTGAAGGACAAACGTCCAATACCTATCATTGATGTTGGATGAGTTTTGTCAAGATTCATCTATATTAGAGTTCAATTTTTGTCATTAAAATTTGATTTTCAAAGTTTTATTAAACTTTGTAAATGTTAATTGTTATGAATGTTATTTGAAGTGTTTTTACAAAGATGGGTTTAATTACTTCGTTCCAATGCTTCACGTATATATGTTCCTTGATCACTTAATTTGATTCTTTATATTTTTATTGCAAACTACAGAGATGTGACTCTGTAGCTTCAACAACCCTTATTCATTTACTTTCTTTCTTGTACATACTTTTTAAGCTGATGAGCAAACGTATTATGTTTTACTTTTTGGGTGTACGGGCTCTCCAAAGGCATACCATTTGCTTGTATCAAGCGAGGTGAAGTGTTTTTTAAATCTGAAGCTAAAAGGAACTGTTGTATGTTGCTTTTCATGTTTATGTTGTGTAATTGTTTTGGATCGCTTCATGATTCATGTTCTCCTCGGTAATAAAGTTCATGCGATTTGTAAAACACTAACCATGATGCCTATTTCTAAGTTCATGTTATATGTATTAATATGTAAAAAACTAAGAGCAAATCATATCATTCAAAAAGTCTTCGCTCGTGAAAACACAAAAAGCCTCAAAATCGTTTACATTTACGACTTCCGCCGCATTGCGCGAGTACACAACTAGTATAGTATAGATAGTATATATTATAATTTATTTTTTAAGTTCTTATTTCATAATATATAAAATCAAAGCCCAACATCATCTCTTATATGGCTCGGCCTGAAGCTCAAAGCCCATTATAAAACTTGTGTTCTAGTACATGTGATTTGAATTGGTCAAAAACCGGTCCTGATCTGAGCTAAGTTGGGCCTAAATCGGTCCCAATCTAAGATTTATTTTATAACCGGTGCCATGGTTATCGGTTTCGGTCCCAACCAAAAATATTCGGCATGTTCTCTATGTATAAAGTCCGGTCCCTAGAACAAATCCTGGTGTCGGGCCTGCCCAAACCGGTCCCAATTTTTTTTTCCAAAGATCAATTTTGAACGTATAAAAAAACTTGTTTCAAGATTCTTTTTTTTTTTGACAATATCTTATTGAAATACACTTTAAAATCTCTATCTTGTTCATTCAAATACATTTTAAAAAATAATTTTTACACAAAAATTGTTATAATTACGATTTTTGAGATTTCATATTGGAACACTTAAAAAAAACTGAAAAACTGAAAAACTTTATTAAAAAAAAACTTGAAGCTTTTTGGTAAAAAAAAAAACTTAAAAATCTTATAAAAATGTTGAAAAACCTGATATATATTTATAAAAACTTCATTTTTTTTAAAAAAAATCGAGTCCATGTATAATCGACCCTTGTCCCATAATCGGTTCGAGCCAGGCCGGGCATTGAATTTTCGTAAAAGAACATAACTGCTCACAAACCGTCCGTTCATAACTGGTCTGGGTGGGCGGAGCCCATTTGGGTCATCTCTCTACATGTGATTAGAGATGGTCAAAATCCAGGTTTGGACTAGACCATAACTTTGGTCGAGTTAAGGATCTTGTAAGAGTAATTGATCCTATGTGTTCTAATCTTGGTCCTTAATTTCTAACCAGTAGGATCCAATGTAACTGGTTACATAACCATTCCCGCGTAACCGGTTCTTTAATCGGCTTGTTTTTTTATACATGTTTTTATTAAAATTATATAAAACTCAACATCTTTTTCTGTCTTTTTTTACAAATTTTTTAATTTTGTTTATATTTAAATAAAAACGATATATTTATTTTTTGGGAAAAGTCTAAAAAACTCAAAGGACTTTAGTGTTTGAAATGATTAAGTTCTTCGACAATTTTTTGGAACAAACAAGTTTTTGGACATTCCAGAACATGTTAAATAACTCATTGGACTTTCTAAAATATGTTAGATATATTTTTATGGTCTATACAACTGGTTAAAGTGCTAAAATAATGGAAAAAGTCTAGAAAAAAAGTCAATGGACTTTCATATTTTGAACGATTAAGTCTTTAAACATTTATTTGAACCAAAAAGGTACTTGGATCTATAGAATGAAACAAATATACCAAAAAAGTACTTACTTTTACAAAAAAAATACTTACATTTAAAAAAAATTATTGAACAAATTTATTTTAATTAAAAATAAAATATTTTCTGCCTGTAATTTTACAAACTAAAAAAAGATTTAAAAAAAATATTGATTAAATTTATTTTAATTAAAAGTAAAATATATTCTATCAATTATTTTTCAGATTAAAAAACTAAAAAAAGATTTAAAAAAAATATTGATTAAATTTATTTTAATTAAAAAAATATATATCCTATGTGATTTTTTAAATTTAAAAATTTTCAGTTAAAAATAAATATAATAAATAATTTTTTTAAATATTTTTTTATTTTTAAAATTATTGACAAAATATTTTTTTATTTTTAATTAAAATAAATTTCATTAATAATTTTTTTTAAATATAAGTTTTTTTTAGTATATTTGTTTCATTTTATACATGTAAGTACTTTTTTGTTCAAAAAATGCTTAGGGACTTAATCGTTCAAAATATGAAAGTTCATTAACTTTTTTCAGGCTTTTTCCATTGTTTGATCATATTAATCAATTTTATAGGTTATAAAGATGTGTCTAATAGATTTTAGAAAGTTCAAAGATTATTTAACAGGTTTTGAAATGTCCAATGACTTATTGTTCCAAAAAATTATCCAATAACTTAATCATTTCAAACACTAAATTTTATTGGATTTTTTTAGACTTTTCCCTTATTCTTATAATTTTGTTACATATAAAATATGTTTTTAACAAACTTTTAAATAAATAATTTTTCAATGTGGTTACCCTCATTTTTAACCGGTCTCTGCATAATTTTTTGACCGGACCCGACAACCGAGCCAAAAGACCGATTCTTTAGTGGTTTTTTAAGGGTATGTTTGATACACTAGACAAGACATGACAAAATGGAATAAGGATTCTTGTTTCATGTTTGTCAGAACTTTTATATGGAACAGATAAGAACTAAGTGGAACAGGCATTGAAAAAAGATTTATATTTTACAAATATGACCTCAAAATAAAACTTAATTCTCTTCTTAAATATCAAATAGGTCTTTTTTTTGCATTTGATTCATTCTTTAAATTTTATTTATTGTAATTTATGCTTTTTAAATTTCGATTTTACTATACTCAAAATATTATTTTTATTCGGTTTCTATATTTTTATTAAATTTATGTCATTTATTGTATATTAATAATAAAAAATAATGTAGAAAATGGATAAAAATAAAAATTGAGAGCTACATAAACTTTTTCTTTTGGTATCATTTTATTTGTTTTAGCGAAAGCTTTATAATGTTATATTTTGTTATAAAAATAATTATTTTATTATAATTTAGGGGTTGTTTGAAATTGTTTATTTAAAACAATTTATGTTTTTTTCGTAAAAGTGTTTATTAACTTATGTGGTATTAAATCGGAGTTAAATAAAACAAGGTTAAAATTATAAACTGATAATAAACAGTTTTTCATAAGTCAGAAATAATTAACTTATTAAAAACAGCTTATTACCGGTCTGACATCGATATAAACAGTTTTTTTCTTATCCAAACACTATAAAACAGTTTATCACCGATACCAAACTGAAATAAATTATAAAGGAGTTTTTATAACCAATCTCAAACACCCTTATTACATCCTGAGCGATTAAAGCTGGACATAAATCAAAGTGGATTCTAAGGAATCTTTTGGTAAAAACAATAACAAGTTTCCTTTGTATTTTTTTCACCGCTGCAACCGAATCTTCGAGTTCAAGAAGAAAAATGGAGAAATCTATGGGAGGAGATTCGCGTAGCAACAAAGCAGCTGTTCAAGCAACAAACGACGATGCTTCCGCCAGTAAATTGTACGTAACCCTCGTATTATTTCCCCTAAATTTTATGGCTTTTCATTTTATGGGTTTTCGAAGTAAACCTTGCGTAATTAGGATGTTGAGTCTGATTTTGAATTAGGGTTTATCGCATGTTCGTACACTGGGCATTGATTGAAATGATAATTGCTGTTAAATGTTGAAATAGTGCAAACTGAACCCTAAATTCAAACAATCGTAAAACTTAAATAATCGTGGGCAAAATGTAAAACATAATACAATGGAAGTGTAAGACTATTAGTTAAATGATTGATTTACTTTTTTCATTTGTTGCAAATGAATATCATTGTTAGGAATAAGCAAAAAAGAAGACACAGGTAACAATGAGGGATTTTAGCCAATTTATGAAACTGTAATGTAAAAAATTAGGATTATATACGACATCTTTTTGTCCCAAGTTCTCATTCTTGCAAGTGTTTGCTTAATGCATTTCTGCAAGAATAGTGGCTTGCTAACCACAAGGGTAGTGTGGTGCTTGATTGGCTTGAGCTTGGGCTCCAAAGGTCAAAAGTGTCTGGAGGTCCCAGGTTCGAATTCAAGGAGGAATAAAAATCCCTTGTGGCCACGAAGGTTCAAATGCGGTGACTCCGGGCTACCCACAAAGCAGGTGGTCGCCCTAGGGTTAGTCGGCTCGGCATAGTGGGTTGGATATCGAGGTTAATCCAAAAAAAAGAAGAAAAGAATAGTGGATTGCTTTTAACAAAATTACAAGTCTGGCTATTAAAGAAATTCTAAGCTCATCGTTAAAACAGCTAGAATTTTTTGGATTAAAAATTGATGCTATTAACATTTTGGGGTCTTAGCTTGGATTTGATGACAACTTTCTTGAAGCATGAAGACTACAGTAAGTCGATGCCACTAGGCGAGGAAAGAGAGTTACCATTAATCTCAACTTTTTCAGCTTGCATGAAGAGATGTTGATTATATTGAATTTATGCATTCAAATTTTTTGACTTGATTTATCTTTGGTGTCGACTCGATAATTACCATATCTCTTCCTATGATTGTCATTGGCATTTTATGATCCAAACCCGTTTAGAAAACAAGCATCATTAGTGATTAACATTTGGTAATGCATCCATTTTATAAATTTTTTTGACAACAATATTAATTTTTTCTATGTATGGCTGAAAGGTCTTGTGTCAAGAAAGGATACATCAAAGATGACTACGTACATTTATTTGTAAGGAGGCCTGTGAGGAGATCTCCAATAATAAATCGTGGTATGTTTTATTTGCTACCAGAAACTAGAGGTTCTATAACTTGTTTTTGATTTAGTTCTTGTTTGTTACACCTATGTTTGACTTCTTAAGGTTACTTTGCTCGTTGGGCTACTTTCCGGAAGCTTCTCTTTCAATTTCTGAATAGTGAGCCAAAATCAAATGAAGGTCATGTAAAGAAGCAAATTTTGTCTCTGGGAGCTGGGTTTGATACAACATACTTTCAGTTGCAGGTGTGTCATTTCTTGCGATTTGAGATATCTATTTTATTTCTTCATGTTCAAAAAGGTAAGATTGCTTAGGGGCTGTTTACTAAATTTTTTATTAAGTCCTGTATGGATAAATTTGTCTGTCCGGATAAATTTGTCTGTCTGGATAAATGAGTGTTGTTGTTTACTTTTTTTATCTGAACCAACAGTCTGAATAACATAAATGACCGATTTACCCTCCAATATTAATTATTTGAACATCAAAACAAAAAATCATAAAGAGGTTGACGATGGGGCGTCTCATTTGAGAAGGAGGCGATGCTTTAAATAAGGGGTAGGGGTGTTATTTTTGTAGCTGAATGGGGACAACACACTATTTCTAGCTGTGCGAATAAGTCAGATAGACCAATAAGTCTAATTAAGCCGCAAGTAAACAGCCCCTTAGAGCCAAATGCCAATACATGTGTTTTTTGTTTTTGTTTTATTTTATTCATGTCTAGATGAAAAGGTGGATTTATCTGCACATGAACTCTGATATGGACATATGGGGCTTATGGTTGGATCGAGATGATTTAAAATGCCTACCCGTAGTTGTACTTGTATCTTCACTTGCTTCATTTATAATGCTAATGCATGTCTCTCGAACCTTTGTCTACATATATAGTTACCTCTTTCCTGCAGTTACGTAAGTACCCTTCTAATTTCCTTGTTAGTGTGCTGAAACCTGAAAAGGCTTCTGAAACACAGTTGCGAGACCTATTACTTATTAGATCCTCTGGGGCAAATCTGTTATGATATCTTTTTCTTTTAATAAATAACTGATTCCTTTACGTGATACACCTTGGATACAACATTGTAATTGTTTTTACTCTCCAAAGCGACTTTCAGGAGTTCATTGAATCCCTTGCTATTCTGTTTGGTTTTGGGCAACAACTTCATAATGTACTTACAAAATGTATTTGCTTGGTCCTTGTATTACTGAGTTAATATTTTCTCGCTTTATTATTAAACATACTTATTTGGCCATTTTACCTTATGCTTCGGCTACTTATCGTCCACTAGTTCTTTGAAATTTACATTTTCTAAGGGACAAAAGCGGTCGGAATGTGAAGTACAGTCAATAAATTAATGGGTTTGTAGTGCAGTGGTCGGAATTTCTTTTACTTGGTATTAGAGGAATCTAATGACTTTTTATTTTTATTTTTTCTTTCAAAAATACTCCTTCAGCTGCGTTCTTTCACTATAGCTAGTCCTTCGCTTTCCTTGAAAGGAATTTTCTTTTCCTATTCTCTGTTGTCTTGTTTTAGTTATTAGTGATGTTTAATATTTGAACTTAGTTGTCCAACCCCTTGATATAAAAACGTTGGAAGAATAAGGGTAGCCAGGATGACTTTGACTTTGTAACATCTGTGCTTATATAATGGAAAAACTTGGTAACGGGACTAGGGGATATCTAAGATTTTGGTTGTGCTTTAAATTCAGAAAGAGATCTGTAAGCATTGATCAATCACTCTAATGCTTTGATTATTTAAGAGTGCTTGTTAATCTCCAAAAAGAAAGCAATGAGTTCTTTATCTACTTAGACGACCCATAAAAAGTTTGGGGTAACAGGTTTCTTGTTATTGTAATGCTTATTGCTCAATGTTGGAATCTGACAGAAATTGGATGCAAAGGATTGGATGTCAGCTTTCTTCGTATACTTTATATGGGCTTAAAATGTTATTATTTTAAATCAAAACATCATTGAAAAAATATGAAGTCTAATGAATGGTTTGTAGGTTATCCTGATGAAGTCTCAAATCACTTGCACAATCTCAGATGGGCAATAAGCATAATCTATTTAAGGGTATAGAGTAATAGACGATTATTGTTTGGTATAACCATCACTATTATGCCATCAGAATACTTTGATTTTCACTTGGTAAAACTATCCAATTTGCACATTTGTCGATTTGCATTCTTGCTATTTCTATTGTCCATGCAAAGAACAAGCATTACTTACAATTTCATTGATGGCCCAAATGCAGTAAACTACGCATGCAATCAGACACTAAGGTTCCATCCATTAATACCATTTCTCCTATATTTCCGGATCCTATTTTCAGTCCTCCTCATGCCAAGTAAATGAGACCTACAATCAAATCTTCATTTCTTCTCACATCATATGAATGGGAACACAAAAATAAGTTTGATGTTCTTCCACAGGGTGGCCACTACAGAATGTGCTTTTTTGGTTTGAAGTATGCTTAAACAGTTCTGTTATTATTCTTATATACTTAAATTTAAATCATTGGCAGGATGAAGGGAAGGCACCACATTTGTACGTTGAATTGGATTTCAAGGAGGTGAGAAATTGAGAAACTATTTGTTCCATTTTAGGTGCTAGCTTATATGTGACGTAATGTGCAGAAATGGGAGCAGGTTTGAAAAAGCATCTTAGAGTGTCTAGGGTTGGGCCAGGAGGGTTTCTTAACACCTTCTTTTTTCTTCTCATCAGTGTTATTTCACAAAGACTTTAAATCTTGGATGGAAATTTCTTTTACCTATTTCTCTAGGTAATCTAGAGATTGTTGGTATGGTGGGATTTTATTGATTATCTATAAATGAGACTCAAATGTTTTGCAAGTCGGCAAATAAGACTTGAGCTAGCTAGAACTGCTAGACCGGTTGCGTTCTAGGCTAGCTTCATGACATCTTAGCTGCATAGCAATGTTGGGGGTACTCTTTCTGCCCCCCCCCCCCCCATAACCCTTGTATATCTTTTTCATATAAGGATTAACATTATAACTTGTAATGCAATTAGGTGACTTGTAAGAAGGCGACCATTATTGACACTTCTGCCCAGTTAAGGGTAAAAATTAGTGAATCTGCATCAATCTGCCGAGGTAATCTTCCCTTCATGATGAGGCTACATGTAACTCTTTTTTATTGCTCTTCAATTTACCAACGTCTTCATAGAATAAATTTTGAAAATGATAAGAAGATACTTAGATAGTCTACCATAGCCTATAGCTTGCTTTTTCATGTCAATGATCAAGTCCAGGAATGCTTCCACAATTTGGGGGATCAGAGATCAGTTCTCTCAGGTACAGTTCAATCTGGTCATTTAACATTTCCATCTTTATGGTCCCATCAATATGGCGTGTGAGGATCCATTACTTGATGTGAAGAGAAATGAAGATGGGACCCAAAAATTGGAGAATTAAGAAAATGATATAACCAGATAGAAGCGTAGGGGTCGTTTACCAACAAAATTGGGTAATGGGTCAGCAGTAATCACTGACCGAGTAAAACTCCCTCCCTTAGCCTACCAGGTCAACATCATGGACTGGTAAGAGGGGCTTGGTAAGCAGGTAGTAAACAACCTCTCGTAGTCTTTAGATATTATGCATCTCGAACTTGAGGTCTAGTTTCAATGAGTTTCTAGAGGCTCAAAAGTGTATTCTGTAAGCCTAAATGATGCTCCTTGTGGAAGTCTCTAAGACATCTAGGGACTTGATGCATAAAGATTCGTTTAGGAAAATGTATGTTTGACAAGCTATAAACTTTGATGGGTTGTGTTCAAGGTCTAGAATCTTGACATATTTTATATTCTTCATAATAGAGGGAACTAAGTCCTAAAATATAATTTAGAGCTCTTAATTTGACATGTTAATTCAAACAAACTAAGAGGCTTTTAATTTGATGTGTAAATATTGTGCACAAAAGCTCGAGAAACACTTGTTCTGCCTAAATTATCCAAAATTTTAATGTCATTAAGTTGGGATCTGCAATTCTGCAGAGAAAGGAGAAGTAATCAGTGATCATTACAAACTTCTTCCCATCGATTTGAGGGACATACAAAGCTTGAATGACCTTATATTAGCTCATATGGATCCAAGGTATGCGCATCTGTTGGTTTCTCATGCTTGAAATTATAGTTATCTTAATTTAGAAAGTTGAAGTTACTAATTTTTGGATATTAGGTGGTAGATGTTTACTTCTGCTTATCCAACTTTCTATTACCATGCTAGAACGGGCAGCACGCCTTTCACAATTTTAATTCACAGCGTCTGGTAGTCACAATAATATGCATCATATGTTTTGTCCTTGTGGTTTGGTGAAAACTTTGGATTTGGTCCCTGGCCCTAATGGTCGTTGACTGAATCCATTAAGTACACTCTTCCTGACATACACCTCACGTGAGGGCAATTTGATCACTTTTATCATTATTTATAATGTACAAGTTTTGGACTGCATATGTTGAAGTGTTTGATGGATTTAGGGTTTAAAAAAGCTAAAATAATTACCCCCTCCCCTCCCCCCTTCCTTCTTCATGTTTTTAAGTGTTTAATGCATTCCAAACTTGTACATCAAAGAAATTAAAAAAGAAATAGGTAAAATGACCAAATTGCCCTCACATGCTTAGCACGTATGGTCACTTAACGGGCCCCTCTAACGGCCGTTAGGTTCAGGGACAAAATCAGAAGCAAAATCAAAAAATGCAGGGAAGACTCCATAATTCTTAAACCATAGGGACGAAATCCAAACTTTTCACCAAACCACAGGGCCGAAAAATGTAATTAACTCTAACCTTAATAAGCTTGTTTATGCATAGTTTTGCCATAAATCTAACCATAGGTTTAAGGCTATAAGATTTATGTTTACCTATACCACTACGCTTGGAAATTTGCCTTTTTTGAGCAGGCATTACATCGTACTCCCTCTATCACATAAAAATTGCAACAATTTCTAATATCGGATGTTGTACATGAATTTGAGCATTCTCTTTTGTTGAATTTTTAAGCTGAAGTTACCTATTTGCCCTTCATTTTATAAAAGGCATATGTATAGTCTACAAGATCCTTTTGTCTTTAATTTCCCAATTACTTGGGAAGGGAGTATTATGTTTTGTCATTTTTATTTCACATGTTCTTAAGAATGATGCTTGCAGGAATCAATTAAGCTGCTTCTTACTAATGTTACCATCAGCTTGCCAACATTTATAATTGCAGAATGTGTGTTAATATACTTGGATCCTGACCCAAGCCGTGCTATTGTTGAATGGGCTTCTAGAGCATTTTCTACATCAATATTTTTCTTATATGAGCAGGTACTTGTGTTTTTTAATCATTATACTCCCTCCATCCCATGAAAATGCATCTTTTCTCTCTACACGTTCTTCAAAATAGTTCAACTACCCTTTAATCAATATAAAGAAATCTTGCAAACAAAATCAATAGCATCAATAATTTGTGATGATGGCTATGGAGAAACAAGTAAATTTAGCTTTAAATCTCATAAAAAAGGAGAAAAAGCAATTTTCATGGGATGCCCTAGAGTTGTTGTGATTACTATGAAACAATGTGAATTGTATAGTCTTCCACTTCTGTTGAAAAACAGTTTCCTTTATATTCTGTTTACTCCTTTATCTTGTGGGATGCCAATGATGCTAGAATACTATACTAATCCTATTTTCTTAGATAATATATTTGCTTTCAATATGTCATCATATTCTATTTTCTTGCAACACCAGATTCTTCCGTATGATGCGTTTGGGCAGCAAATGATCAGAAACTTGGAGGTAATATGGGTTCTATTACTTTTCCTCTTAAAATTGGCTCTAAAAATGCTCATAGAAATTGCAAGTTTTAACTGGACACATGGTTCATTAGAGCAAGTGCTCAACTATTGATTAAATGTCTAATTACCCTTCAGCAATGAGAAAATAGGGGAAATCTTGTTGACCAAAATCAATAACATCAATATTTTTAATGATGACTATGGACAAACAGGTATTATTAGCTTGAAAGTTTCAAAAAAGGAAACACTGCAATTAAATATTTGATATTCCAAAATGGTAATTGTTGCAGTCTTTATGGGTCAGGAGAGTATGTGTTCCCCCTTTAAAGCAAATGGATGTGATATGTCAAAGAGGTCATCAATATGGGATCTTTAATATTTTAAAAGAAAGCTGTTTAACTACGTTAAACTTGTAACAATCACAGCACTTACAAAAAAGTTGGTGTTGAACGTAAACAACAATTAACTTCTGGGAAGACCTTGATGTCAATTTGTATATGTTTTTTTTTCTTAGAGTCGAGGCTGTGGACTATTAGGCATTTATGCTACACCAACACTACATGCAAAGGAAAAACTTTTCCTTGACCAGGGTTGGCAGGTATGGTTTCGATATAGGATCTCACCATTTATTTCATGATACCAAGAGGGAAGAACCAATTTGGCCAAGCTTGCTTCTGCTTGGGCCGTTTTGATGTGGCATTAGCGGCACCAGAAGGGCCAATCCTCCATGGAGTATGCAACTAAAAACAAAAATATGTCTCTTCTACTTTTATTGCTCTCTTGTATCTTAAATCATAGTTATGATGAGTTTCAGAGAGCTGTTGCGTGGGATATGCTGAAGATATATACTAGCTTCATTGAATCTCAAGAACGACAAAGGTATTTGGTTTCTGGATCTTTTTTATTTTATTAAAAAAGGTAAATGAATTGTAAATCCTGGTGTAGCTCATGCTGGGCTATCTCTCCCTAAAATAGAAATCGGTAGTCTAAATGTACATCTGCATGATCTATGGAATCAAAGGAAGCAATGTCTTGGCTTGAGACGGAACTTTCTCGTCTCGTAGACACATGCGAGAGTTGTGAAACTGTTTATTGTGAAACTGTTATGTCCTCTCCTGTCTGGACACGAAACGCACCCTTAGGATATGATTGAATAGTTGCCTTAGGGGCTGAACCAACACAAATTGGTTAAGCGCGAACCGGCAAGAGTGGGCACTGACCGAGAAAGGGCCATTACTAATTGTTGATCGCCTCTTACTAGGTAAGAGGACGCTTACCCTGGTAAGAGGTGAGGTTGTTTATCATACACTCTGACCGACAAATAACTTTGACCAAGATGCTGACCCGGTGAGGAATGAAAGGCTCTTTTTACCCGGTTAGCACTTACCCAACTTGTGTTTGTAAGCGGCACCTAAGAGTCCCTTCCTTAGCTTACCAGGTCAACATCTTGGGCCAGTACAGAGGAGAGTGGTAGGCAACTAGGCATCAACATCTCTGACCAGGTAAGCGCCTCTTACCTGGTAAGAGGCAGTAAGCTGGTAGTAAGGAGCCCTTGATAATCTTCACATAGTCCAAGTAGATGTGTCACAGATCAGAAAAGGGTATTTTATAGTGTCAGGTTCAGCTTGTAGGAAGAAGAAATAGGATAAAGACGATGCCTCCTCCCCTTGGGCTTATCAGTCCGGCCACACCCGCATCCAATTCACATCTGGTGCAAATTCAGCATTATAAATCAAATATTGGTGCTTCATATGTGTGGTCGCTTTGGATCATGGGATGAATAATGCTTGTGAAAGTGCACATATCTTTATTAATCTGTAATATCTTGCTCTCAAATCTAGTTGTTCGGAAATGGAACATCTTTCAGAAGCTTTTGGTTATTTCGTTTCACTCTTTCTTTATATTGCTCATAAAATGTTATGTTTGTTTTATCAGGATTGAACGATTGGAGTTGTTTGACGAGTTTGAAGAATGGTACATGATGCAGGCAAGTTCTTTATATTTTCCGCTGCTAAATATAGGATAAAAGGCAATTATCTTCTGTATTCTCTTCTTTGATCATTGGAAAACAGAGTCTGTGTTTAAAGGTGAATGCCAAACTAACTACAAACAAATTTGATTTTGATTTTGATTTAATTCCATTTGAAGAAGAAATCAACAGCTACATTTAAAAAAATTATTAATCAGAAAAGAAATTAGGTGCATAACTTGTACAATGCTTAAGATGATAAGAAATTTAGAGAGGATTTGACTTTCAGAAGTCAAATTCGTACTTGAAATGTGTATTGGGTCAAAACTACCGTACATTTTTCTATGATTGATGCAACCAATATAGTATTAGCTCCAACCGATGAATATTGAAACATTTCATTTTTTTACCATTAACGTTATAAGCGTATATATATATATATATACACACATATATATAGAGAGAGAGAGGTGGCTATATTTACAAATCCAACCATTAGTGCAAACCATACAAACCAATTATATGAGATATGTATAGAAATTATTTATTATCTGCATATTTATGGAAGATTATCAGAGTTCATTTATTATTGTCAATGCACTCTCTCTCTCTAAACGTTAAACTATATATCCATTGTCCTCAAATAGTGATTACGTCTGTATATATATATATAGAGAGAGAGAGAGAGAAAGCATTGACAATAATAAATTAACTCTGATAATCTTCTATAAATATGTGGATAATAAATAATTTCTATAAATATCTCGTATAATTGGTTTGTATGGTTTGCACTAATGGTTGGGTTTGTAAATGAAGCCACCTCTCTCTCTCTCTCTCTATATATATATATATATATATATACACACACACACAAACATATATCCATTTGTCACCATTTGAGGACAATGGACAGATAGTTTAACGTTTACATTGAACATCTACCTTTTTCACAAGCCGGGGTTCTCTTTGAAAACAGTTCTCCTGTCTCTCGAGACAAAGTTAAGATCTGCATACATTCTAGCCTCCGGACCCTACCTTTGGGTGGATATCCTGGCTTTGGTTTGGTTTGGTTTATTGAAATACGTGTCTTGTTAAACGTTGCAATTTTAACAAGATGAGGGTAAAAGAACTTGTAGTTTTATCTGACATCAATAATACTGATTGTCGTCTCCGAATTTGGTTTTCAGGAACACTACTGTGTCACTTATGCTATCAACGATGCCATGGTATGTTTTGCATATACTCACACTTATACTCTATCTCTTAAATTGAGCTTGCATTTGAACCATAAACCATAACACCGAATGATTGATACCCTAAAAGAGCATGAACCCATCAAGATTCAGTTCGGTTTTGGAAATTTTTGTTTCAGGGCATGTTCGAGGATTTTGGTTTCCCTAAAGACCAGCCTGTGACTGTTGCATCTACAACAGCATCTCCATGAGCTTTGCATCTGCTCATATTTGTAATAAGATTGGGTAACTAGTTACTTATATATATATATATATATATATATATATGTCATGTGAGTGGCACGTGATAACCAAGAACTACCAAAATTCCCAAATGGGTAAAAAGCTTGATACCAAAATCTTGTGTAATTCTGGATTATTTAGGGTTAAAAAAAAGATTCTTTTGTTATAGGTTTTGTCATAAAAGACATTGTGGGTCCCTTCCCTTGTAGTGTGTTGGGGTTTTTGTCTTGATAGGGAGTGAGTAGGAGTAGGACTTATCATGGTTGGTTTCAGTAAGTTGTTGGTCTTTTAAATTCTGGATTCATTTATTTTGTTTTTCAGACTTATTTTTTGTCTTTTTATACTTTTTGAGTCAGAGTCTGAAAAATTTATGTTGGTTTGCCTTGCAAGCAAGATTCAATCTCTTGATTAAAGTTGGAAGAATTGTGTTACTTTGGATCTAGTGTATGCTAGGGAATATCCTATAAAAAGGGTACGATGTCATCCTTTGGAACGCATATACAGTACTAGCGTCATGGCCATCTAAGCGAGCTAAACTGTGTATCTCTCGTTCATTTTTTTTTATTAACCTGGATATCCAATCTGCTATGCGAGCCGACTAATCTCAGGGCGACCACCTGCTTTGCAGATAGCCCGGAGTCACCGCATTTGAACCTCTGTGGCCACAAGGGGATTTTTATTTCTTCTTAGATTTGAACCTGGGACCTTCTGGTACTTTTGATCTTTGGAGCCAAGCTCAAACCAATCAGGCACCACTCTTGTGGTTCTCTCGTTCATTTTTATCTGTTAAGATAACTAAAACAAATTGAAGAGCTAAATATCAAGAAATAAACCAGTTTAGCATCAACGATTTCACCGATTGTCGTCTAAATTTCTTCTTTAAAGTTGGTTTTAAATTTGGTAAAATGGTTGAAATTTTGCTTCTTTTTTTTTTCTAGCAGGGCGTATTTGTTTTCAAGGATTAAAATAGAGGTTGTTTTATCTATACTATATTATAAAGCATTTGACAAAAACTCTTAAAAACCATCTTTTATACATGAAACACTACATATTGATGTATATTACTTAAAATTCAAGATTACAAATAAATTATGTATAAATACAATTTATTAAGTTTCATATTTGAATTCGTGTAACTAACTGTAGATAATATAATTAAAAATAGAATAAATTTTTTGTTTTAAATATATCTAAAATATAATTAGGATAATTATTGAGTTTAAACAGAAATTTAGTTATTATCTTTATAAAAATTATATTTTTAAACCAAAAACAAATTACTTTGTTATTAAACCTAAATTAAATTATAATACAAAATTTGAATTAAAGAAACTATTAAAAAAATGAGACTTTTGTATATATTTTTTAATTTTTATGATATCTTCAAATTTATATTTAAAAAAACATTATTGTTTGTTCACAACTACATAAATTCGTATTATAATATCAACAAAGACTAAAAAAATAAAACATTAAAATTAATATATATTTCGTTGCATTATACGAGTACCCTTCTAATTTATCATAGAATATAAAAACCCAAAATATCAATAGGGATTGTATTGTATTTGATTTAAATAAAAAGTAAGTGAAAAATAAATTACAAAAATAATTAAATTATTTTTTATTAAATAAATATTTTTATGATATTTCAGGACAATTTTATAAGCAAATTCTATGAAAAACCACCAATTTTTGTTGGATTTTAAATACACGATTGGAATAAAATTCAATTTCAAATCTCTTCAATTATTACCAGATCGTATGTTTGGTTTGTGGGATTTAATAGGTTTTGGAGGGATTTCAAACTAAATTTCATTTTAATTTTACGTTTGGTTGAAAGGAAAACCTGAATTAAAACCATTAAAATCCCACAAACATTGGATTTCGAGATCCCGTGAGATAGTTGTTATTTCATAGATTTTTTTTAAAATATGTTAAAACATTTTTTAATAGAAAATAATTTAATTATTTTTAGAATTTATTTTTTAAACATCTATAAATAATAAAATTCAATTTTTATTTTAAATCTTACGTACCAAAAAAAAATCTCCCTTGTGGCCACAGAGATTCAAATGCGGTGACTCCGACCTATCTGCAAAACAGGTGGTCGTTCTAGAATTAACGGGTTGGATATCCAAATTAATCAAAAAAAATCTAAATTCCTTCAATTTGTTCCAATACTTCCATATCGAGCTCCTTCCATGATTACAAATCTTTTAAAGACATTTCATCAAACCAAACGCGCCCAAAAGTCAAAATTTAACTTCTCGTCACAAACTGTCATTTTAAATTGTACTTTTACAATCTATATTTAAACTACGATTTAAAAACATTGACTTAAGAGCATCCATAATGGAGGTTTTTATAAGAACCTTCATTGTGAGACAGAAGTTATTGTCTAGTCATAGATTCTATTAGAATCCAGGTGCTTGAACAAGAACCCGTGTTCTTATATACAATTTTTTGTAATTTCTTATTTTTAATGTTTTTTAATAATTTTTTTTTCTTTTGATAAATTTATAAAACATAAAAGGTTGTTATCTGATTGGTTTGAGCTTCGTCTCCAAAGATCAAAAGTGTCTAGAGGTCTCAGGTTCAAATCCAAGAAGGAATAAAAATTTCTTTGTGCCCACGGAGGTTGACTCCGGGTTTCTTGAGATTAATCGGCTTGCATAACGGATTGGATATCCAGGTTAATAAAAAAAAGATTATGACAAAATTTAAATTATCGTTATAAAATAAATTTTTTTTAAGTTTGTTTTATTTTTTGCTTCTTGTAAATTTTTATACAAGTTTTTGTATTAATAAGTTTAATTTTTGATTATCTCATTACATTATTATCTTTAGATTATTTTTCAGATACTTTTAAACATATAATTAAAAACCAATTTATATTGCTATTTATTATTTAATGTTACATTCTCATCCCACCGGAGAATATAATCACATCCTCATCCCAGCGATTTTTAATCCTCGTCCTCAATATTGGTTTTATATACCAAACCAATTTGCTATTTATTATTTAATGTTACATTTTATAAAACTGAGGAGCTAATTGATAGTTGCTGAACGGTTTGATGCAGAATGGTTAGGTGATCAGAATGTTTAAGAGGCTTTGTATGATATTAGTGGAGCATGAAATTAAGTTGTTTGGTAGCCGTCTAAATGGCCGGACAAATTACCATTTTAAACTTATGTATGATATAGTTCCGAATGAACAGAAATCATGTATAATATATCAATAAACAGAAATCAAAAAAATCTTAAATCAGTGTTTGAAGGTCCAAATCAAGTTCTGTTTTGAAGGTTTCAGTAAACATCACTGTAATCGGTGTTTTGAAGGTTTCAGTAAACAAAAACAGAAATCGGTGTTTCAATAAACAAAAATTCGACAACAGAGAGCAGAAATCGACCATTGACAGATACAGAAATCGACCATTGACATCGATGATAAACAAAAGCACAGACACACAAACGAAAACAGAGAGGAGAGAGATACCTGAGAGCTCGACGGAGATTAGAGATCGACGATACCGTGGGAGGAGATCGGATAGCAATCCTGGGGGAGATCGGTATGGGAAGCTTTTTGGAGGCGATAGACTTGACGGAGACCAATATTGGAAGGATAAACGTGGAAAAAGTTGGTTTCTCAAACCATTTGGTAGTTGCTGAACGGTATGGTGCAAAAATGATTAGAAGGCTCTCATGATACAGTGCAAAATGAAATATAATTGTTTGGTAATTCATTATAACGAAATTAAGGCACTGAATTATTAAGAGAGACTCAAGATAGAAAATCATTAAGAGGCAAAATAAAAAAATTGTCAAACAAGATTGATCTCTTAACTATTTAGAAGTTACCTCTTAATGAAACTATTAAGAGGTAACAACTTCTTACCCGTGATAAGGAATCGTTCAGAGGATTTTGATACAATTAAGAGGCTACATTTTGTTTTACCAAACAACACTTGCATCTGAACGATTTAGAAGATACATATTAATGGCATCATCTCTTAATATATGTTACATTACACTTTTTTTAATTATAGTACAAAATTATATTTATGTTTTAATTGTCTTTTAATAGGTTAACAAAATATATAAATTAAAATTAACATAGAAAAGTGAAAGTTGATAAGTTATATATGAATTTTTTATAATCTTATAATATATATATATATATATATATATATATAGAGAGAGAGAGAGAGAGAGAGAAAGAGAGAGAGAGAGAGAGAGAGGGGATGAGTTATTATGCAACCCTTTACATTTGTACAATCAATACAACTTAATCTTAATCGTCTATTTAATTTGATAAATACGTGATTTCATAAAAGTTTTAATTCTTTTCTAATATAAAGTATTGATCATAATCAATTAACCTTAGTTATCTTTCATAAATATTCAAATCATAATAAATAAACTCTCATCATTTTTATAAATATTTCAATTGATTGGGTTGTATTGGTTGTACAAATTTGATGGGTTACATTTGAAACATTCTCTACACACACACATACACACACACACACACACACACACACA